ATGTTTGAATTATATATTATTTCATAACATTATATATAATTTAACGAGGCATAAATATAATTTTTTTCATCGAAGCGATGTAAGAATTTATAATTTTAATGATTAAAAAAGGCAGATTTCTTTCTGTTTTCATCTTCTCGCTGCTTCTTATAACTCAAAGACCACCCGTAATGCGAGGCTGCTGTAGTGTAAGGTATACCATTAATATAAGACATTCCAAAGAAACCGAAAAGACTTGTTTGTTTTATTAATTAATCTTCGGATCAATTTATAAAATAAACAATCTTAAATGAAATCTGCTGCTGAGATAACATTAACTTAATAATAGATACTACAATGTTATTTATTAATTCACTAAAATAGATAGAATTCTGTAAAATTTCTATTATGAAATATTTATGTAATTAATTTGAGTTGAGACAATATTTATTTGTTTTCTATTCTAATTTAAATAACAAAAAAAAATCTAGTCTTTTAATATAAAATGTAGTTCAGTATTTTACATTTAATATTTATCTGAAGAATTATTTGCGAGTCAATATATACTAATCTTTAATCGATTTTTCACTCATAAGTTTCAGATGTACGAAGATATTTAGGAGGATTATTTTCGAGTAACGAGAAACCTGTTTCGATTTTTAGTCTACTTACAAACTGGTTGTTATTTTCAGTGTGTAATCGCTAGAAGAATTTAAAATGTTTATTTATGAACTCTGTTAGAGTTGTGCTTCTATTCTATAGACCCGTAATTACATTATTTTCTTCATTTATGGTTACATATAAGTCTATAAAAACTTGTTCAAACAGATAAATTCCGATTTTGTCAAACGTCTGTCCTTGAAGTTTATTTAATGCCGTAACGTTCCAGAAAAGGTTAAGTAATTTTATTTTGTTCAAACATGGAAGTCAAAGATAAATTTCTTAGTAGACTTTATCTACTTTTCGTTTGTTATTTTTGATAAAATCTTTATAATCTGATATTAATTAAGTTTTCTTTAACCTTTTTAAAAAAAATTAAGAGGATTATATTTTTCCCCCCTACAAAGTCAAGTTACAAATTAGTTTAGGCTTTCACAACCTTTATATTATAAACGTAGTCTCTATGCATATAAATAATATTGGAAAATGTAGTAATTACCCTACTATGTTTTGGCCTATAACTTTTTTACTGATAATCCTGTTTAAAAATAATTTAGTGTGTAGCTATAGAAGGATTATTAATGCATTTTTATATTCGAGATAATTAAAATTGCGTTAGAATATTCCGAATAAAGAAATTGATTTGACCTAGTTAAATCCACCGAAAAGTTTCTAAAATGGCTTTTTGAAGCAATCAAGAAAAGTTTGTTTATTCTCTAAAATGAATTCTGTACTCGTTACATCCGGAAATATATTTTCCGAAAGAAACATCCAATATATAGTAGACTTATTGGGATAAGAAAGGTCATAGTCCTGTTAACATTTCCTACAAAAGCGTTTGTCACTCTTCTCTGTAACAGTTTTTGACTATGTTTGGTATGAAGGTATTCTCGCGCTTCCTAACGCTTTATAGAAGCAATTTTTCCTGTTTCCATAAACGTTTCTCTGGTATCTGCATGGTTTTTAATACAGTAATAAAATAGCCTTGCCGAATTTCATAAAGCTTTAGAAATTCACACTGAATAATAAAATATTTTATGAAGCTTCAAAGAAAATAATATCGATCTTCGAATAACATTAGAAAGATCTTATGTAACTTTGTAGTGTATTTTCAGATAACTTTTTTATATAAGTTTGATGTTATTTATTGTAAATTTTGAAGGTTTTTTAACTGCAAAGTCTGCTTTATATAATACTATAAGTCTATTTATAATTATTATTTCATTTGATTCTTTAAATTAAAGATTTTAAAATCTAAGAACAAGTGGAATTTAATGCTTAATAGAAAATGAAGCTAATATATTTTAGATTTTTTAAATTATGGCTTGTTGGAATCGATTTTCGTTGAAATTTTGTAATGCATACATTATTATTTAATATGTGATTGCACTTTTAAGTTATAAAGTATCTGTACAAATATACGAAAATTCATTTTAATAGTTAAATCTTGAACCTTTCTATAAAAATTCTTTGTTATATTATTAACCAATAATTAAGCTATTAAACTTGTTAACCTAATAAATTATTCATTACTATAAATATAAATAAAATGAAATAAATAATTAATGGACAGGAAATAATTATATTATTTGTATTATGAATATTATTAATAAATTTTTATCTTCTCTGTGCAAGCTATAAATCCGTACACGATAGTACAAACGTATATACAGTAGAGCGTCGATTTTCCGAAAGTCAATCATCCGAAACGTCAATCATCCGAAAGAATTCCAGTCGGCAAATTTAAATTTTTGCCATTGCTGTGGCGCTTCAATTTTTGGCTATGTCTTGGGTTACTCAAATATTTTACGTTTTTGATACTAAATTAACATCTAAAGTATAATTTTTTATTATTTCTATATTTTTCAATATATTTATTTTGTTTGTACAAAATAAAAAAATAATTTTTAACGATACAATAGTCTTTGTTAGGCTTAACATCGACGAAAATTCAACGCGAAGCGACACGCAACGGAGAAAATTTTCGACATCGGATACGTTAAACTATTTTTTCGTACGTAAATCAGTTATTCGAAATATCAGTTATCCGGACAACCCCAGTCCCCAATTGATTCGGAAAATCGACGCTCTACTGTATTACATTTTACTCACTTAACTACAAATCTGATTTAATTAAGTAGTAAATAATGAGATTTAAATAAGATAAAAATACGACTTAATAGTATTTAAATAATTTATTATAATAAAGAATATAATTTAACAAACAATAAAATTAATTGTAAAATAAATAAAACTGTATATACTAAAAAAGAGAATCCACGGTAAACTTTTACTTTTAATTTAAGTCTTAAATTATATGTAACTACCTTCATAAGTAATTGGAATATTGTTCTTTAGGTAAATTCAATCTCTAAATAATTTTTAATTATTCAACACAAAGCTTAGTTTGATTCTTATTTTATTCAAAATTAAAGTGACAAACTTTTCATTTTATATTTAATTAATTCACAATTTAAATTCATTTCAACATAAATTCAATTATATAATTTACTCACATCTCTAGTCGCTGTATAAACATCTTTTTCCATATTCGATTATTAAAGACATTTTCTTGGAAATATCCACACTGTGCAATCGAACTAAGACAGTTTTGGATAAAATGTCTTTATTTTACGTTTAATTTGACGACTGTTTTTTAAAATTAAACTGTGGCATATTTTTACAATAACTAATTTATGAATAATAATTATTATTTCAAAAGAAAAAACAACTTATTTGTTTGATAGTTACAACACATAATTTTGTTTGCGAAAGAAAATATATCAAATAAATACAAAAAGTAAATGGTTTGTTTTGAAAATGACAATTTTTATTATTTGATATCCTGTAGTTTTTAAGTTAAAAAACTTTTCGGGTCGAGAATTTCTTGCTGCAAAAATTATGTAAATTTCGTGTTAAATTGTAGAAGAGATTCATAATTTAATTTTTATTAAATAAGTTACATTCAGTACAGTACACGAGCCTATTCAAAGTTATATTCTGCCTATATTTACATTGGAATATGATGCTAAAATTTAAAATTTTCTAATTTATTATTTACTGTCTCTAATAAAGTTTTAATCTTAATATTTGAGAAATACTTTTAAATGAATTGTGATATGTTTAGTTTTTAAAATTACTTTATATAATTTCTGTTTCCATTAGAAGCTTATGAGAAAATTATTAAAATTTTGATATTAATTATAAATAAATCAAAATATATTTATAAAAGATCGTGAATTTGATGCAATTCGCTTAAATTATTGTACTGGAAGAGGAAACCGCAATTATCGAACTTCGTAATTGTTGCAATAGTTTCTCTAGCGTAATTATGGCTTAAAAGTTAAAATAATTATAATTTAATAACATATTTTTTACAGTATCTTGTTCTTTGTGAAATATTCTCATTGCAAAAATTTATTCGAGTAGAAGAAAGAAGAAACTTACATATTATCTAATTAATAGAGTTTCAGAACTATAATTTTCAATCTGTAATAAAATTGATTAGAAATCAGATAAGCTTGAAATTAGATTTACATGATTAAATGATATAAATTAAATTTTAAATCCGTCTGTAAATAAAGTGAGCCCAAGATGATTATAATTATAGCAATATTTAACATCAAAAGTAATAAAGTAATATTCACTTTTATCTTGTCTAGAAGATAAGGTAACATGATACAATTTGCCCCGAGAGCTTTAAATCGCAAAATAATTTTGTATTAATTAGTTCATTTTAATTTCCAAGATGTAGAATTGAATTTATCAGCTCTTTACCTATTCAGGTAAATAATATCTGCGAGTGTAAATTTTTATGTAATTAAATTTTAGATTGCGAATCAAAGGACAATTTTCAATTACGAGAATAATGAAATTTCCTGGAATCGTTGTAATGTATTATTATTTAAAAGTAATAACAACTCTTGTTAAGATATTCAGTTACCAATTCCTCATAAGTCACATTCTCTTAGAGTCTTTCCTATTTTACATTCTGTTATTGTTTCTTTATTGTCTGAACTTCCATAGTAATTTATTTTTTGAATTATTAACTATTGAATTTTCTAATTTGTATTTGTATATTAAATTTCATTAGCTCGTTTATCTCTAGATAATTATCTTTTATCGAAATAGATGCAAGTGTTTTTCTTCCTATTTTTATGTAGAATTTAATGATGTTAAAGCTTTTAAAAGCCGCGAGTCTCGTTGTTGTTGTTGTAAGCTTTTATTTTTGACTTTTAAGTACTTGGTTTACGTATAAAAATAAAAGGAATTAAATACTAAAATTGTTATTATTAAAGACAAGGATGGCTTTATATTATATTTAAATTTTAATTACGCAGCGCGATAATTTATATTCTTAGGAGCTGATATTTTTATTGGAAAAATTGACGACCACCTTTTGATGAATGACGTTCTTTCTGCTCAGACCGTAGGTTGCGATGGTGTTGTGGGATCAGGCAAGAAATTCGATCAGTGTGGCGTTTGCGGAGGTGATAACAGTACTTGCAGGATCGTATCTGGCTTATACACGAGACCCACTTTGCCAGTTGGTTATAACTTAATTGCCAAAATACCATCTGGAGCTTGTAATGTTAATATTACAGAACTGAAAAAAAGTAATAATTACTTAGGTAAGTATTTACAATAATTAACATATAATGTTTTGTGAGTTCTGTTGTGGTTGATCGTTTTTAAAATAATGGCGGATCCGAATAATAATCCCAATAATAACTTTATCAACTAACAGCTTTATATATTCGCTATTGAAAAGTAATATATGAAGTTATCTAACATAGGCCTATTTTATATTTATCAGTAAATTATGCAAATACAGTAGATCCTAGATTTAATGGACAAAAATAATTTCTGTCCTAAAAGAAAGATTTATAACCTTTTTTTATTCGCGAATAGAACACGCTACAAGATGAATCAACGAATATAAATTATTCAATATATGTTACAATAACATTCTGTACGTTGTAAATCCGTTATTAATATGTGTTTTTAAAACATATTCGATTTAACGGACTTTCAACAATAGCGGACATCCCTTTTTCTCAATCAGCCCGCTAAATCACCGGCCTACTGTATAAAAGATTTGTACAGATTTAATATATTGAACTAATAAGATTATAATGGGCGATATTGTGATTTATTTCCGACGAAATTCGAAAGGAATGCGAAAAAAATTGATTTAATTAAAATCGGTAGGAATCGTTTTAGCAATTATCTTCAGTGATTAATTTATTAAACACCTTTTTTTTATTACGTTCATTTAGTTAGAGTTTTTCTTTTATATTTCAGCGCTACGAACTGCCAGCGGAAATTACATCATTAACGGAAACTGGGCAATAAAATGGTCCGGGAATTACGAAGCCGTCGGAACAACTTTCACATACATCCGCCACGATTCTCAAAACAATCAATTAGGCGAATCAATCACTGCCAAAGGACCTACTAACGAGGAGATCGATCTTCTGGTAGGTACAGAGACAGTTAAATGAGCACATTTCCTTTTTAAGACCTAATAAAATCCGCCGAAGAAGCACATCGTCTCTCTTACGAACTTCCGTCGTTCGCATGCTCATATCTAATTAGTTTAGTAATTAGTTTTTATACCTCATTTGAACTTCTGTTCGCAGTAATTATAATCCGCATATATTAAATTATTATATTAATTTTTTTCTTCTAATCTATCTTATTGAAATCTAGAACCGTGTTACAAAATACTATTTATTTTTTTAGATATTCCTCGTGTAATTTTGAATTACAAATACATTTACAGTTTATAAAGATAATTTATGTATAATTAAAAATTTAATATGATATAATGAAACATGTTACGTGCGAAACATATATAAACAGTTTAAATTAGTTAAGATAATTCAATATAATATTATATAAAAGTATAACGAAATTTTTAGAATATTTTTTCAAGCATTTTAATCATTCACGTTGAATTAATATCAATAATAAATTCATATTTAATAATAGAAAATTATTTGTAATTAAAATTTTATATAAAAATATGTATTAAGTCTTGCATTATTTGTTTAATTTTTCGTAATTAAATCAGCAGTTTACGGATAATTAAACTATAATTGATTAATTGACAACAATAACAATTTAATTAATCAAAATTATATTTTTAGCTAATATCCTTTAATTATACTGTATGCAGAAAAAAATATCGATATCAAATATATGCTTTATCTATATTACAGAAATTACCACAGATAATAGGGGAGACCGGGGCAACTTCGGCATGCGGGGCAAGTTTGTCAAGCGCTTTTTTTAAAAAACAAATTAAAAGGAGACTTTGGTTATAGGTTAGGCAGTTGAGTTTTATTGGTGGCTTGTTGAGTGTAGTGTTTTTATTGTTCTCCAACAAGCGTAGTTGAATTATCAAGCAAATTTTCATTTTCGTTCAATTCCATATAATATTTTTTTTCCATTTATATTGAATTGGCAGGTTTTGTTATAATTCCATGATAACGAAAGTTACTTTTCCTGTTAGAAGGATGTAACTTCAACTTATTCACGTGGCCAGATCGTGGCTTGGCATTCTGTTCTCAGGGTTGTACTTAATGTTTCGAAATCATGACTAGCGGGGTAAGATCGGCAACATAAAGCCACATTAGAAGCAAAGGATAAAAATCAAACAGATGATAAATGAAAACATGTTTGCATTTGTTATTCATGTATATATGTCTTTGAACTTGCATTTCGTTGTAATAATATTAAATGGGTGTTGGATTTGTATTTCTTTGTTTTAATAGTGAATTCCAACTTATACATTGTTAATAACATAATTTTATATACGTGCCTATCTTGCCCCATTACTGTTGCCCCTATACCAGGGGCAACTTTAATAAAAATAATTAAAATAATTACAACTTTACAAAAAGAGAGAAGTTGCCGATCTTGCCCCTATACCCGGGGCACCTTCGTCAATTTCTCTCTTCTTGTAAAGTTGTAATTATTTTAATTATTTTTATTTCCAAACTGATTTTAACCAGTTCTATAGTAAGGTAACATTCCAATAGACAATATGCAAAGCTTCTTTTTCAGTTTACAGCAGTATTTATTACACAAAATTTAAGTAAAGCTTAACATGCCGATCTTGCCCCGATCTCCCCTATATTTATATTATTATAGTTGCTAAAAGGCAATCTCAATTCAAATGATGTAGCGACTCACGTTCATCAATCAATTGAAGCTTAATTACACGTAAAGAAGTGGTTTAATTATAGTAAGACCGATGGAAACAAAAATCTCTTTAAAAAAGTTCTTCTTCAAACTGTAATTTGATACAAGAATTATTTATTGAACTTTCGGAATTAAAATATTTGTAATAAAATGAAACTGCTTTGTTACCAACGAGATTATGTAAAAAATAAAAGAAATAAATTAATTCATTTTATAAGATATTATTTTTAGAAAATTTCGACATTATACCATTATTTTTCTATTTAACGCAACAATAAATGAATTTAAATTGCACCCGGAGCCAAATTTCTTAATATATAATATATTAAAGATGGCTACTTTTAATCATTCTTATTAATTAAGTGGTATATTCAAAAGCAGGAAGCATAAATTAATGATGTTAAACAGAATTAAATATTTTTGCTCGTAATTTAAAACATGTTTTAAGTACCTCGCTAGAAATTCTGTATGTAAATTTTGACAATAAATTTTCTCGGATTATAACTAAACAACAAAATTCTATAAAATATTTTCTCAGTTCTTTTACTTTAAAAATTTAAATAATCGCGATAACAACTGAATTATCTCAGACTATGAGAAATTTTCAAATTAATTATTGTACATTCGACTAGACATTCTCATTTTATAGTAAAATAAGAATCATTCGTTTTCTTTCTTTCTTTATTTTTTATCTTATTTAAAGAATTTGTACAGTTTAAACAAGAAAATAACTTGTAAAAAATGTTTACAGAATCTCTTTTATCTTCCTTAATAAGTAGGATTTACTGAAGAAATGTGACTATTCCATTTCCAGTGGGTACACGTATTGAATTATTCATGAACCGTTTTGTAACTCATCAATTTTACTCCTATTTATTTTCTTAAATTGTAAAATGCAATAAATAGCATATTTTAATATGGTTTTTTAAACATGGTTATATACTTTTAAGGTCTTTATTATTATTATTTTAATTATAAATTTATAAATTTCATTTTTATAATTTTATATCCCATGAAATTTATATAATACAACATAAAATTATAAAAAATAATGTTTTACTTATAGCTAAGCTAATTAATTCACAAGTTATAGCTTAAGTAATATAATTTTATCACTGTTATTTCAAACTTAATTTTGATGAAATGTTTTTATCGTTTCCAAAATCAACGGTAAAATAATGTTAACAGTAAAAGTTTAAATTTTCCTATAATACTAGGAATTCTTTTGTTTGATTTAATTTAAAATTCGTTTAAATTCTGACTTTTAATTAATAAAAGTGTGAATTTATTATTTCAGATAATTTATCAGCAGCCTAATTCGGGAATAAAATATGAATATTCTTTACCAATACAAGAACGATCTATGAAATTTCCCGATAACAATTTTCAACTTGCCTTTCGTGATGGTCCTCAAACTTCGCCTCGTCGTAATTATAAAGATATATTAACAAACCCTAAAAATCATCGGCCCGATCCCATTAATTCCATTTTAGACAATAACCAAGTTGTTGATCCCACGTATAGAAATAAGATAAAAATTCCTCACCCCATTAATACCATTGATAGAAATTATCGTAGATTCGAATCGAAAAATACTTATCGATGGAAATTAGCGGGATTATCTGAATGTACCCAATCTTGTGGGGGAGGTAAGTTAATATTTTGAATATTTTTAATGTAATAAAACGGTTTAAAAACATAAAATTATTTTATATGTGTGTCCAAAATTATAAACTTTTATTTAATTTTTAAATTTAGTTTTTCCTGCATTAAAAAAAAGTTTTCTGATATTTAATCATCTTACTCGTCAAATTAACTTTAACATTAGACTTACATGTAAGTTATACATGAATTTACGATCATTGGAAACTGAGATTATGTGAATTCAGTCTCCAAAGAAGATCTACTCCCTTCCTTTATACAGAGAGATCCATTTTTAGAATTTCAAATTGAAAGATGTGAGACTGACAGAAGTCGATTAATATAACTTGTGAAAAAGTATCTAGTTGATGTTCAAAAGTATACGATTAATCTTTTAAAAAGTTCACTTAATCATCGCGATAAGATTATAATTGCTAGAAATTTAATATATACATATATATAAGTTATAGTGATATATTACACATCAAATCTTGGCCTTTTATTTTATTAAAAAACTTAATTTAAATAAAAAAATATTTTTCTAACCTTATTATTTCTCTTTATTTCTTATTCTTATATTAAGTAATCTACAAAGAACTGAAGATTTTTTGTAGCATGCTTACATTTATACAATCTTTATGTTTTCATCTCTTTATAAAAGTATAGATATTAAATATTAATTTAATATATTTTTATAAAATTAAGAAACTTCCTCAGATTTTTTCCGAAAATTGCAATAAAAACTGTCATTTAAACATCAATATTGTGTTCCTTTTATAAAAAAAAAAATTTATATTAAACATTAACAGGATATTCCGAAAATAAATATAAATAGCCTATTTATTTGGTAGGTCGAATTTACTATTATAATATCCTGTTTTTATTATTTTATTTTTATAAATTTAAATATTTACATAATTCTATAAAATGCGTAATTATTTAAGATTACAATTGTCATTTAATAAAACACGTGAAAAATATATTTAAAATGAAACCTCTGTTTAAATGACGTTATAGTATAATTATTTGTTTATTTAGTTATTCGAACAATCGAATAATCTGTAAGTTTGATTCATAATATAAAAGTATAGTTTATAGTTTAATGTATTAGTACGTATTAAAGATATAATAATTATACATATCCATCGAAATAGGTTTTCTGTTAAAAAAAAAATATCAAGTGCTTGAAAATGAAATATGGTATTTAAAATAAGCCACATTTAAAAANTTTCCAAACTGATTTTAACCAGTTCTATAGTAAGGTAACATTCCAATAGACAATATGCAAAGCTTTTTTTTCAGTTTACAGCAGTATTTATTACACAAAATTTAAGTAAAGCTTAACATGCCGATCTTGCCCCGGTCTCCCCTATGTAATAGCAGGAAAAGTAAAATCCAAGACACCATAATATAATAGTCGGAAAATTTTTAAAAATTTTAAATATATAAATCTTAGCTATAAATTTATTTAAAAGTTTATATTTATTTAAGATGTATTCAATTTTTAAAAATTTTGGAATTTTTTACCAACCTGGTAGACGTTTTTATTTTACAAAGTCGTTCAAGATTTTATTTTTCGTTCTCGAAGAATGCTTTTGTCGGGTCTCTTTAACTCTTTATTTGCGAAAGTCTGGTTAGATGAGAGGAAAAAAAAAATCGTTCAATTGATCAGGACAGGACACGGCCGTTGGGATTAAAGCTGGTCTCAGCTAATTTATCTTTACAATATATAAGTTTTAAAATGAAAATAATTTTTCCCTTGTAATAACTTTCGAACTAAAATTAAGTTGAATAGTTGCTATCGATTTTTCTTTTTCCTTTATTCGCATTTAATATTACAATACAAGAAATTTGTTTACTAAATTAAATTACAGATTGTCATGTTTGATTCTAATCAGTTTTTGGAAAGAGTCGGGCTACCCTATCTGTATTTTGATATAAAGTGAATAAGCAGCAGCACAAATGTAAATAATAGCATTATCATACATATTTATAAATATATCTAAAATCATAATGTGATACTTGTAATAAACACTTAACTGAAAAAGTAAAATCTTTCGGAAACAACGAGTTTTCAGCTGCAAGAAACATAGACGAAAACGCATGAACATAACATGTCATTATTACGAGGCTGATAAGAATGATGACACAATACGATAGTGTTGCCAACCATTTAGTTTTTACAATATTTCATTTTTGGCTTTTCCTCGTGTCCCAGTCTCTCGTATGTGTTATGAAAATTTCAATTATATTTAAAAATGCCAATATACCAATGTAAGAAAATGTGAATTTGAAATATGAAACTAGTTGCGCTGCAGTTTGAAAATTTTCTCACTGTCGTCCGTCCGTCCGCCTGTTCTTCCTTAATCTCGAGAACGGAGCTAGATACATGAAAATCAAAACCAGATATAGAAAGCTTATGGGTAGGAGGTCCCAATTAACTATATAAGAACTAAAGATGCAAACCCACGTTGGGAAACAGTGTTAGATAGATGACCGACACGACTCTACTGTTAAAGAAAAAGTATAATGTACAGGGGCAAGACACTACAGTACTAATTTGTGATGGAGAGCATATATTTTAAATGAAATAAATTTAAAATATGATTAAAAATTGTCAGTCCGGTATTGTGACTTTGTCACAATAAATAATTTCTCGTTTAATCTTAGTTACATTTATTCAACTAAATTTATTGATTAAAATTTATTCTAATCTGAAATAAGCTTCTTAATGAAAACGATAGCTTCTTTGAATAATCTTCTATAAACTATCTTCAGAATTATACCTAATAAACACAAATTGTATCGATTTATTAATATATATATATATATATTAAAAATCGATACAGTTTTTGTAAATATGTATTTATGAAAATTTATTAAAAATGTATATATATATAAATACCATTTTACATTATTTATATCGTTGGATGGAGCATAGAAAAACCTTTTTCAACTCCGTCACACACATAATATAACAAAGAAACAAAAACACACAAAAATCAGACTGCTAATCAAACGAATACAGCAACGGATTGCGTAACTTTCCCAGCAAGAATTTTAAAATCGTGTGGCACCCATCTGTTATGATATTTTATTTAAAAACTTTTTATATTATTAATTATAGCAAAAAGCTAAATTTTGAGGATAGAGATGAGTTTTATTTAAAAAGAAGTAAATGTTCATGACGAGTAAAGTCTTCATTAAGAATGATCCCCTTCTATCTTTCACCCCTTCGACTTTTAACCACCAAAATTTAATAGCATCAATCCCCTAATACTCAAATATTCCCGAAAAATTTCAGAAATTTTTGACAAAAGGCACAGGAATTATTAAGCCTCAAAGTGGGTGAATAAAATCTTACCACACCCATAAACAACCACATATACAGAAAAATTACTGAAATTTTTTCATTTCTCGAAATTTCCGCTGAGCCCAAAAATATAAAAATTTTGAGAGTGCCCTCAGTTATAGGGGAGACCGGGGCAACTTCGGCATGCGGGGCAAGTTTGTCAAGCGCTTTTTTTAAAAAACAAATTAAAAGGAGACTTTGGTTATAGGTTAGGCAGTTGAGTTTTATTGGTGGCTTGTTGAGTGTAGTGTTTTTATTGTTCTCCAACAAGCGTAGTTGAATTATCAAGCAAATTTTCATTTTCGTTCAATTCCATATAATATTTTTTTTCCATTTATATTGAATTGGCAGGTTTTGTTATAATTCCATGATAACGAAAGTTACTTTTCCTGTTAGAAGGATGTAACTTCAACTTATTCACGTGGCCAGATCGTGGCTTGGCATTCTGTTCTCAGGGTTGTACTTAATGTTTCGAAATCATGACTAGCGGGGTAAGATCGGCAACATAAAGCCACATTAGAAGCAAAGGATAAAAATCAAACAGATGATAAATGAAAACATGTTTGCATTTGTTATTCATGTATATATGTCTTTGAACTTGCATTTCGTTGTAATAATATTAAATGGGTGTTGGATTTGTATTTCTTTGTTTTAATAGTGAATTCCAACTTATACATTGTTAATAACATAATTTTATATACGTGCCTATCTTGCCCCATTACTGTTGCCCCTATACCAGGGGCAACTTTAATAAAAATAATTAAAATAATTACAACTTTACAAAAAGAGAGAAGTTGCCGATCTTGCCCCTATACCCGGGGCAACTTCGTCAATTTCTCTCTTCTTGTAAAGTTGTAATTATTTTAATTATTTTTATTTCCAAACTGATTTTAACCAGTTCTATAGTAAGGTAACATTCCAATAGACAATATGCAAAGCTTTTTTTTCAGTTTACAGCAGTATTTATTACACAAAATTTAAGTAAAGCTTAACATGCCGATCTTGCCCCGGTCTCCCCTATGTAATAGCAGGAAAAGTAAAATCCAAGACACCATAATATAATAGTCGGAAAATTTTTAAAAAATTTAAATATATAAATCTTAGCTATAAATTTATTTAAAAGTTTATATTTATTTAAGATGTATTCAATTTTTAAAAATTTTGGAATTTTTTACCAACCTGGTAGACGTTTTTATTTTACAAAGTCGTTCAAGATTTTATTTTTCGTTCTCGAAGAATGCTTTTGTCGGGTCTCTTTAACTCTTTATTTGCGAAAGTCTGGTTAGATGAGAGGGGAAAAAAAAAAATCGTTCAATTGATCAGGACAGGACACGGCCGTTGGGATTAAAGCTGGTCTCAGCTAATTTATCTTTACAATATATAAGTTTTAAAATGAAAATAATTTTTCCCTTGTAATAACTTTCGAACTAAAATTAAGTTGAATAGTTGCTATCGATTTTTCTTTTTCCTTTATTCGCATTTAATATTACAATACAAGAAATTTGTTTACTAAATTAAATTACAGACTGAGAAATCGATCTTTGTGTTTGTTAAATTAACTCTTTTTTTATATATATATTTAATTTCAGAAAGCTGTTAATAATATGAAATGTTTATTTTTATATAATGCTTAGTAAAAATCTCTCTTAAAGTTAATGTATAAAAGCTGATCGAATCTATATTTTAAATTCTTTAATTGTAAACTTTAAAAGAGAAAAGTTAAAATTTAATGTTTTTTTTTTATTTATTTTGCATTTCATTTGAAAACTGTGCAGGTACTCAGCGAACAATAGTGTCTTGTGTGAAGCAAAACACGTTGAGTGTGGTACCCGATGATGATTGCGAATCAGGGGATAAGCCAGAAATTCAAATAGTTCGTTGCAATACTCAACCGTGCCCAGCTGTGTGAGTATAAAGATGTCATACTGTCACTCTCATTTCAATTTCATTAGCTCTTACATTACAATTCTTGTTTCGAATGCTTCCAACTTGTTTTTTTATAGATGGGTGCCCGGAGAATGGGAAAGTTGCAGCGCTACATGCGGAGAAGGAATCCAACGAAGAAAACTATTATGTAAACAAGAAGTATCGCCAACGTTGAATATTAATGTAGCAGAAGGAGCTTGTCACGGTCAGGAGAGATTACCATCCGTTAGAAAGTGTTTTATTAAACCATGTGTTCATTGGAAAATTGGTGAATGGGGAAGAGTAAGTGCATTTATAAATATTAAAACACAATAGAAACTGAATGTTATACATAAATCCTCAAAAAAAACCGGATTTAATCTTTTTTCATTATGCGATAAATTTTTCTTAACGCTTCAATTTCTATATTTTATGATGTGTTCGAAGTAAAAACGAAGCTATTTAAAAGTAATAAAATATTGCATAAAAGAATAACCGTAAAAAATTAAATGAACCTACTATTATTTAAATAATAATTGGTTAAAGTTTACATTTGCAGTTATTATTAAAATACAAATTTAGTAATGTTTATCAAAATAATTCCATCGTAACAAGATATAAGATTATTTGGAAACTACAAAGTTAATCAACAAAATGTTATGTGATATTTTTAGCTAATTATATTGTGGACATATTGGATTTTTGCATTATATCGTATCGAAATCCTAAATATTAAAGTTTATTTCAGTGTTCAGCAGAATGCGGGAAAGGAATGAGAAAAAGGGAAGTTACTTGCATAACCGATGATGAGAGAGTAACGCTGGAAAATGAATGTACGGAACTTAAACCAGAAACTGAAGAGATGTGTGATATGGGACCTTGCATAAACACTTGGTTTTTCTCAGAATGGACGCAGAAGGTTTGTCATTTCAATGATTTTTTTTCAATTAAGAATATGTTGATACGTTTGTTAAAAATATAAGATTTTAAAACTCTTCCTAACCTTTGTAACCAATTAATACAGGCACTCGATATATTTTTATAATAGAATTTTATTAGTTTCTTATATTTAAAACATTATTCTATTTTAAGCGAGGAATTTTAACTCATAAAATGAACAAATATAAAAAATTACTTTATTTCATTTCCAGTCATATTATTTGTGACTTTATTCTGTATTCAGAAGAGAGAACGTTTGAATATTATAAGAGTGCAATTGGATTGTTTTCAGTGTTCGGTGGAATGTGGAAAAGGCCACTTATTCAGGAAAGTAATTTGTCTTCATGGAAGTGGAAAATCAACCGCAGATGGAGCATGTGATTTAACTAATCGTCCGGAATCTCAGAAATCTTGTATTAACGAGAAAGGTTGTGGAGGAAAATGGTTTGTCGGCCCTTGGAGTCAGGTAATAAACTCAAATACTCTTCAATTGAAATTTTTCGTTTCCGTCTTTTATTTTTATTTTTATTTTTAGATATTTGTGAATAAATAATTTGAATTTAATAATAAATTCGTTAAAAATATTTTAAAATTTTTTATACAATAACATACAATTATCTATTAT